CTGAAAATGTTATATATGCCTTTTCCAAACTTCTATTGACATCACGTCACTCAATTGTTTTGCCTTCCCGAAACCTCTCCACTAACATTTGAAATTTATGGTATGGTATTAAAGTTCAAATTGACTTTTAAGTATTATTACGAATACAAATATGGGAGTATAGAAAAGTGTTGTTTTTGGACTTTTTCAAGGCATTTTTTTTTTAATTTTCCTGTGCGTAAGAACCATTTTCGTATTGCAAGGAATATTCTAAAAAAAGAATTATCGAAATCGGTTCAGCTGTTCTCGAGATTTGCGCTTAGAAACACATTCTGCGATTCATTTTTATATTATAGATATTTATGATTTATTTTTTAAGCATTTAACTGCTAGATGTTTAAATCTAAAGAAAAGTTTACTAGAAAAAAATCCACGCGGACCAGGCAGCGGACGGGACTCGAACCCGCATCCTTCGCTATCCGGGCGAATGCACTGACCATTATGCTACCACGGCCCTATTAGCCGCGTCGAAATTTTCCTAGCCTTAAGCTGCAAGGCAGCGCCATCTCTTCGCATTGTAGGTAACCCACAATTTTCTAGTAAACTTTTCTTTAGATTATAGATATTTTTAGAAATTTCGTAATTTTCCATAGAATATTAGAATAGTGGAATAAATCACTGTCTCAATGAACACACATACATATTCACTCTTTAGGATTAGAGAATTGCCAGTTGCCACCGAATAGCGTGCACGTCTACTGCCTACCCACTTCTAGAGAATTGGTGATTAATTATCGCAGTCGATGTAAAAAGGGTGGCACCTCGCAAACGAGTCGACAACGAGTCGACATCGACCAGGAGCTCTATTTTTGAATCACTCGTCTGACATAGTATCGTCGAATGCGACATAAGTCACCTTCGACTTTCAAGTCGCATAATACTGATTTTCCGTATTTTTGAATCACTCGTCACCAGTGTTACCTGTTTGATACGAAATTTTACTCATTTCACGCAGAAGTAATAAAAACCGGTAATTACTACTACTCTTCGTCGTTTCATATAAAGCATGACAATGATAGATCATCGTCGTCTAATACCACAAAAAAATTGACAATTATTCTATCATTCGCCTCCACCATTTGCCATGCAACGAGTGGTCTCACCCATTCGTTGCACTCGAGCGATTCAAAAATACGGAATTATTATGTCGAATAAAATTTAGTAGATATCGAGCGTTCGACGCAAGACGAGTGATTCAAAAATAGAGCTCCAGCTCTCCGCCGCCGACACCCGGCGAATTAATGAAACAGCCGAGAGGGCGATTAGAGGCTAGGGCTGCCACCACCAGCTTTCATCAACTTCGCACAAATCTCGAACCGATTGAGTGCGCGGGGCAATCAAATTAATTCCCCGCTCATAATTAGAAAACACTTTTTTATATTGTCTGTGCCTCGATACTTAATTACTCGTAATGGATTTACTTGATCGTAACCGCAAAGTTTTACTGTAGGTCTCGAGTCGAAGAAGTTGGCAATTCACTGTCTTAGACGAGGATTAGCACGAAGATTTCCATGGATTAAATTATTAAGTGGTAACTTAACTCGTATTATCACTATGGACAATACGCCGTGTCTGTCTTTGATCATAAAGAATGGCAATATTGAGAAATTCTAGGCAAATTATACCTAACTGAGCGCCTACTAAAAAAAATCAATGAAAATCGATCGAAATCTGTCGTATGAAAGTTTTTAACCTGATTTTGACACAGAGTCTTAAATTTTAAAATATAACGCCAAACTAACTTGTAACCCTCTGGTCCAAATTTTTTTTATACATAACTAATTTTCTTAGCACACAAAAAAATGCAAAATTTGCGTCAACTGGTCGTTAGCAGCTTAAGCTATTCCTTCTTACGAAAACTTATATTTTATTTAATGGACAGAAAACATATAATATGTATATTAATTTGGTATTGATAAATTATTGCGTTAAATAAAACTAGTTTTTACGGGTTAATGCACGAAACTTTATTTATTTATTGACGTTTCGTAGCCTTTACAGGCTTCGTCGTCAGAATAAAACTTTGAAAAAGTAAAAACTAGTTTTAATGAGTGATGTGCGTGAAAACCTAAGAAATAAATAAATTATTGCGTTCTTTAACTTTGGTAATGTAAGATTTCTCGTGGAAATATCAGCTCAAACTAACTCGGATATAGGAAATTCTATGTTTATTTTTATACACGGAGATGGGCAGAAAACATGATATGTATATTTATTTTGTTACGATAAATTATTGCGTTCTTTAACTTTGGTAATGTAAAATTTTTCATGGAAATATGAGCTCGTTATTAGACCAACTTGGATACAGTATATCGAATAATTTATCAAAATACAATAAATATACATGATTTTATTTATTTTTTAAGTATTTAACTGCTAGATGTTTAAATCTAAAGAAAAGTTTACTAGAAAAAAATCCACGCGGACCAGGCAGCGGACGGGACTCGAACCCGCATCCTTCGCTATCCGGGCGAATGCACTGACCATTATGCTACCACGGCCCTATTAGCCGCGTCGAAATTTTCCTAGCCTTAAGGGGGTTGTGGGTCACCTACAATGCGAAGAGATGGCGCTGCCTTGCAGCTTCCCGTCCGCTGCCTGGTCCGCGTGGATTTTTTTCTAGAAAACTTTTCTTTAGATAAATATACATCTTAAGTTTTCTGTCCATTAAATAAATATATATTATTTACATAGTGTCGGCAACCCTAATTAGACCCACGTGCGAACAATTGATGAATTGGCACTCTAGGTGGAGTGTGCCATCAATCAGAATTTTTATCGAATCTTCGAAGTGACGTAGCAGTTGCTGAATCAGAATCGTATAAAAAAATACAACGAAATCACAGAAAAATTCTGAAGCACTTTACTAAAAATTAACTAAAATTTACTTTCTCCGTACCGTAGTACTTTGCATTTGCAGTCCAAACATTGCAATAGGGTATTTGACAGTGTTAAAAATAAAGTGCCAATTGTTAGCATCTGTGTTTAGAATGAATATTGCCAGGGGTTTTTACTATTTTTACAAAAAAATATTCATAATTTTACCAACGAAAAAGATAATAGTTTTCTTATCTATTGTCACGTGACCCAAAACGCTTGGGATTGGCGGAGCCTAAAATGACGTCACACGCAAGTAAACTTCCGGTTACAGTGACATTACAATGTATCTTTTGACGTTTTAATAACAGTTGTGTGACGTCACACGCTAGTAAGACGCCAAACTGTCCAGAAAAACGTTTTCGCGGCAACTTGAAAATGGAGTTTTTTATTTGGTTATTTATACCGAAATACACAACAGAATGATGAATATCCACTTTTTACTGACTCGTGACACTACGCGTGACAATAACGTGAGATCGTTTTCTAAAACTTGTCATATACCCTATATGCACCGACGTTTTTGAACCTATTTTATTAGCATTATTGTTATTATCATATTTTTAAGCATTTAACTGCTAGATGTTACTAAAGAAAATATTACTAGAAAAATTCCACTAGATCTAGGTTTCAGGCGGGAAAGTCCTGTTGTCTACCGAATCATTATGCGCCGCACTCAGGTGTGTGAATCTTTCAGGAATTTTCTATAAAACCGAATGCAACTGAAATCATTAGAGAAATAAAGTGGTTTAATACAAATTAGATTCCTCATATACCTAATTGTTTATTAATTAAATTCTTTTGTAATTTGTGTCAGGCACGATGGAGTGACGATTTGCGCAAGGTGGCTGGCAGGAGCTGGATGCGAGTAGCCCAAGATCGATCTGAGTGGCGTGCATTTGGAGAGGCCTATGTCCAGCAGTGGACTATGATAGGCTGTTGATGATGATGATGATGTAATTTGTATCCTTAAGACTGTAAATTGCGATACCCTAACAGGGTTCATGTTAGATACTATAAGCATTTTGTAACCATCTATGTAACCACATGAGTGCAATAAATTGAATTAAATTGAATAACGCTACACCCAATTCAAAAAAATACGCTCGTTTGGCTTCACTTTAAGTCCTAACTAAGTATCTAGCCTACGCGGAAGATCAAGCGGTCGGTCACCTACCCGCTGGTCAGACCTAGTAAAGTCGCTCACTGGCCTATCAATAACCAAAGCTATAAAGACTGCCGAGGACAGGAAAACGTGAAGAAGCATAGTACATCAGATGGTCAACATTTCAAGTTAGACACGACCTTCAGCAATGAAGATAGCGACTAAGAAGAAGTATCTAGAGCCCGTTAACAGAAGAACGGATAGCGAATGATCAATAATAGGGTTCCACTGGCAACCAAATAAATATAAGCTTCAAGATTATGTTGCAACAATAGAAGGAACTCTTCGTTAGTGAGTCGCACTTGGTCAGCTTTCATTTACTCAAAAAGATAGTTCTGTGAATTTTCGATTTACTTTAAATTCTTTAGATAATTATCTTGAAGCTTGGCTAGAAGCGAAAAATAGAATGCTTCAACGTTATACGTTACTTTCCTGAGCTAAAGAAAAAGTAACATTGTTAGGGTCCAATACACTTGAGAGAAAAGTAATGGACGCGGATAGGTTTCTGTGAAATCTTTCCACACACACAATTGTTTGAGGATATTCAATGAAATTATTGAGACCGAACACATTAACCACTGTGCTATCAAGCCATCGAGCGATCCTCCAGATTTCTTATTTACTCTAGTGTTTTTACCAGAGTTGTAAGTATTTTAAACAGTCTGCTAATAGAAAAAAATGGCTAAAATAACACTTTACACACCTAATTCTTATCTATATCTATAAACCAGTAATCATAATCGTTTTAACTGTGTTATTTGTCCATTTTATCGGTTTTCTTTTTAGGCACTATCTCATTTCTCAAACAATCGATTTCATGTCCTATAAAAATACATGAATTGGATAAAACGCCATTATGATAAACCTTGATAAAGAACATAAGTGCAACCTCTGACACACTTGTCGACTGTCAGTAACGATGGCATCTCTTTGGAAAACGGTCGGGATTGGTATAGGAGCTCTGCTTGTGGTCGGCTTGGTGGTAGGGAGCATGACCTGGGCGATTTTGGCCAGCAGGAGTCCGATAATAGAAGCCCCAGTGACGGAGATCAAACCTCTGGATTGGTGGGAGCACGCCATAATCTACCAGATATATCCGCGCTCTTTCCAGGACAGCGATGGGGACGGCATCGGAGATTTAAAAGGTAACGTTAACATGATCAAAGTCAAATTTAGTCTTAATTGTTCTGTAAGTGCTTTGAAACGTCCAGACTTTGCCACTGAGAAGAATACGAACATCGATGACAGTTTAACAAAGTTAAGCCAAGATTAGAATCTAAGGTTAGAGGCAAATGCGTTTAGATTAGAAGCGAACGTGAATGTGAATATACTTGCGAAAACATCTATTGGTCCACCAAGCAATTTAAATTTTGACAATCCCTATAATTCAGCAAAAAGTTTTTACGCAGTTTTGAATCTGATATAAACCATTTTTGCGTGTGTTTTTAAAAATATATTATTATTCTAAAGAAAATATAACTATAAAAAATTCCACGCGGACCAGGCAACAGACGGGACTCGAACCCGCACCCTTCGCAATCCGGGCGAATGCACTGACCAATTATGCTACCGCGGCCCTCACGGACCGCGTCGAAATTCCTCTAGCCATTCTTATGCTGCAAGGCAGCGCCATCTCTTCGCATTATAGGTAACCCACATTGCGGGTTCGTGAGGGCCGCGGTAGCATAATTGGTTAGTGCATTCGCCCGGATTGCGAAGGGTGCGGGTTCGAGTCCCGTCTGCTGCCTGGTCCACGTGGATTTTTTTCTAGTTATATTTTTGTTTCTTAGGTTTTCACGCACATCACTCATTAAATAAAACTAGTTTTTACGGGTTAATGCACGAAACTTTATTTATTTATTGACGTTTCGTAGCCTTTACAGGCTTCGTCGTCATAGTTAGATTTTCTTTAGATTTAAACATCAAGTAGTTACATGATTTAAAAAATATATAACTATATTAGTATTGCTCACTCAATCTAACATATATTTTCCCTAAAGAACGTTGAAACTTCTACCACTAAGTGAGCTGGTAGATGTGTCCGAAAAAGTATTTTATTTAGCAAGAATATTATTGCAGGTATCACCAGTCGAATGGAACACTTCGTGGAAACGGGAGTCGATGCCATCTGGATGTCTCCTATATTTGAATCACCGATGATAGACTTCGGATATGATATTAGCAATTTTTATGAGATCCATCATGAATATGGTACAATGGCTGATTTCGAAGAATTAGTTGCAAAGGCACATGAACTTGGTGAGATTATTAAAGACGTAAACAGATTCTATATTCTTAAAGTAACAAATTATAGCCTAAACCTAATATACACCGCCTTATTCCAAAACGCGGTCTAAAGTTAGTATTGGTTTAAACCTTTTGTTGTCTCTGTCTTTTTTCTATCAAACAAAAGTGACAGCATCAGTTTTAGTCTACGTTTGACTTTAATTCACGTTTTGTATTAAGGCGGATACAGTCCAAAATGCGTCTATTGCTAGTAATTTTCTTCAATCCTTAAGAAGTTCGCTAACTGGTATTTTAATTAATGAAATATGATAAGGGTGTTCAATGTATGACCAGTTTATTGAAATATCTTCTAATTTACTTACTTTTTCATAAATAAAAAGATATATATTAAAAAATTAAATAAAGTCATGGCAGTATTTCTCGGTTCATAGATAAATTAGTTACAACTTTTCAGGCATCAAGGTTCTGTTGGATTATGTACCAAATCATGCAAGCACTGAATCTTTATACTTCAAAAACTCCGAAGCCAGAGTGCCAGGATACGAAGACTATTTTGTGTGGGCTGATCCTCGCCCAAATCCTCTCAACCAAAGTGATCGTCTAGTACCTTCAAATTGGGTAAGAGAAAGGCCCTGTTTCAATAAAACATCAGATACTTTCTGATACAGGATATATATTAATAGTTATTTACAAACATTTTATACAGAAAGTTAATTTTATAGTTTGCCGTTATTAGATTTGGTTACATGAGTACAAAAAACTGCCATTTAAAGCGTACAGATATTTTTCCCTCAATTATTTTATTATCATCAGCTTATTAAAGATAAATAAATAATCCGCCTGCTGGATCAGAGGTCGTCCCTATGGATGGCGTAGGAAGAAAAAGATATGGTTCTAACAGCTGCAGATTTCACCGTGACCAAATGCCTTCCGATGCACGGAGTAGTTCAGGATAATAAAATTTTATTCACCCATCCATTGCAAAAGTTTCGTACGAGTAACATCCATGCCACTGCGCTATAGAGCATCTTAACTTACAGTTTATAAACATACAACAATATATAATATGTCTTCAATAATTCTGTACATATTTACAGATCAGCCAATTCGGAGGTTCTGTGTGGGAGTGGAGCGAGGTCAGGCAGCAATTCTACTTGCATCAATTTGCGGTAGAACAGGCCGATTTCAACTTTAGACACCAAGCAGTGAAAGATGAAATGATCAATATCATGACATTTTGGATTAAGGAGAAAGGAGTTGATGGGTTCCGCGTCGATGCCATACCACACCTCTTCGAGGCAAAGCCAGATGAGAACGGCATTTACCCGGACGAACCGCTATCTGGAAACATGTTTTTGAACCCCGATCAACCAGGATATACGACACAAATTCACGTCAGGGACCTTATTGAACTCTATGACGTTGTTTATGAATGGAGAGACTTTGTGGATCGCCTGAAGGAAGAGATGGGTTCAAACACTAAGTATGACCAATAATAACCCTCGAAATATATTGTTTTAAACTTTCATGGTCACTAACATTATAGTAATATAAGCTATTTACGGGATTGTTACCATGTACCTTGTTTCTAGCGAGTTTCCGATATTTCGGCACTTTTGCAATCGCCTTGACCACGGAGTAACGGAAATTTATCAGTTACTCCGCGATCATGGCACTTGCAAAAGTGCCGAATTATCGGAAACTGAAATTGATCAGTTACTCCGTGATCATGGCGCTTGCAAATGTGCCTAAATATCGGAAACTCGCTAGACACAAGGTACATGGTAATAATCTTGTAAATAACTTATATTCCTCGAAATATATTTTTCTTGTCATAATTTTTCTTAATCATATAATTACTCTTGGCAGAATCCTTCTAGCGGAAGCATACGCAAATATCACCATGACTATGCTTTACTACGGTAACGAACGAGATCGCGAAGGCGCTCATTTCCCGTTCAACTTCGACTTCATCACCAGCTTGTCGGCGAGCTCAAATGCCAGAGATTTTGCTTTCATGATCAATCGGTGGCTGACTTACATGCCTTATGGCAGAATTGCTAATTGGGTGGTAAGTATACAACATCTTGCATTTTGCAAAATAAAACCGAAAAAAAATAATTGCATAAAAACAAATGACATTTTTATAAGTTGTGTACGTAAACTAAATAACATTATCCTTCCAGTTTGGAAACCATGATAATAACAGAATGCCGTCTCGATTCAGAGAGAATATGGTGGATGGTCTGAATGCCTTAAATCTCATGTTGCCTGGAGTCGCAGTGACTTACCAGGGTGAAGAGATTGGAATGAGGGACGGATATGTCAGTTGGAATGACACCGTGGACGTAGCCGCGTGTAATCAGGGCAATCCTGACAACTACCTACAGTTCTCAAGAGATCCGGCCAGGACACCGTTCCATTGGGACGGTACTGTCAGCGCCGGCTTTTCAACTAATACGTCAACTTGGTTGCCAGTTGCACAAGATTTCAGAGAAATAAACTTGTTATCCCAAAAAATTGCCTTCAGGAGCCATTACAAAGTAAGTAAGTTTAAGTTATTGAGCATTTCTTCATTACAAGTGTTTCTGTTTCAGTTTTAAGAAGATAGAATATAGTCCGTGGCTGTACATGGGTAAGCACGCTAATTCTCATAACAATAATTATGAACACAATAACAATGATCGGTAAAAAAGTCCGCCAATAATAATTAAATACCTGCAGTCTGATGTTAGTAATTTGAAAGCTGTTCTGTGGTTTAAATAAATACTTTTAATGGCATTTCGATATATTTATACATTCCTGACATTATTTTAAAATAAATATACTTTGCTTGCTTTTTGTCATTGGATAACCAATTCTATAATTGAGATTTTAAGATCTTAATAAAAACCAGTGTTAAAATTGCCCTGTAGAATCACTCATATCTTCTCCACTGTTTTCCCATTTTTCAGGTGTACCAAGACCTTACTAGTCTTCGGCGAGAGTCGCGGGCTTTGTCTCATGGCTTGTATCTGATCCGAGCCTTGAGCGAGTTCACCCTGGTGCTGGTGCGGCACCTCCCTACCTTCGATACGTACGCGCTGGTGTTCAACGTCGGTAGCGTCAATGACACAGTCGACCTCAGCAGGGTGGAACTCTTCGCCGAGCCGTTAACTGTGGTCACCTCTAGTATACATGCCACTAGGGGAAGACGGTAAGCCTTGAATTTCATTGTCACCAGCAACATTTCTGGCTCTTTCTTAAAGGCCAGCATCGCTTTTGTGTAGCTCTTGGTGTTGCTGGTGTCTATGGGCGATGGTGATCACTTACGATCAGGTGAGCCGTCACCTCGTATTGCCCCTATAATATATAGTGTACAAATGACTCTATCCCACCTGATGTTAAGTGGTAATAAAGTCCAAACGCGAACATAGCTGGTACAGCAGTTATAAACTGCTACACCAATCACCCTCACCTTGCCGGCCTGCAAAAATGCTTCTTCACGCCTTTCTTAAAGGACCCCAGATTATAGGAAGGAGGGAACACTTGCGCGGGTAAAGAATTCCATTTACGAATAGTACGACAAAGAAATGAGTCACCAAATACTATTTTATTATATTAAATACTAGCTGACCCAGTGAACTTCGTACCGCCATAAAAAAATAGGGGTTGGTGGTAGAAAGTTGAAAATTTAGGGATGTATGACGTATGTTAAACAAAAATCTAAATTTTTTAAAAAAAATAGGGTTGGATTACCCTTAACATTTAGGGGGATGAAAAATAGATATTGTCCGATTCTCAGACCTACCCAATATACACACAAAATTTCATGAGAATCGGGAAAGCCGTTTCGGAGGAGTTTAACCACAAACACCGTGACACGAGAATTTTATATATTAGATAATTATTATTTTAAATTATATTACCCTTGCAGGGTGGCAAGTTGTAATAGACTTTTACGATATGCACAATTAATTTTTATATTGGCGTATTAGATAATGATCACTATTATTGATCGTGATCATTCAAATAAAATATTGTAAAATCGTCACGTAAATGGCAATCGACGATTTGCGTCACTCTAATGTTTCATCCGTGCATTGTGATCTAATAAACATTGATTATTTGATAAAAACCCTAACCTATCTTTGATTATCTTAACTGGGGTATTAAGTTATAAAACATACGTTCTACATGTGATACTTCTACTTATAAATAACAATAAATAAATATTTCGAACACATAGCTATAAGCCTAGCTCCAAAGTAAGCACTGTAACACTTGGGTGTTACTTGGGTTATGGGATTTTACCAGGGCTTCAAACCGGTTTCGAAAATACCGGTAAACAAAGGTTAATACCGGTTTTTAGTAAAGGTTTCGTTCGGAGCGCGTCCGAAATGAAAGCGGTACCTAAAACCTTAATAAACCGGTTTAATCCAGAGCGACACGCGCACACGTCGGCATCGCTTGAAGTTTGTTTTGTTTGAACTAATCAAGTCACAACTTGTTAATGCTCAGAGATTGATGCATTTATTGACACATTTGCTAGCGTCTAGTGAATCAAGTTATTCATTTATTATCGATACCGTCAGAAAGAGCGAAATGAAACCCTTTAAAAACCGCAAAATTGATTCAAAACCTATTTGATTTCGCTTTTTAGGATAACCGGTTTTTTAAGGTTAAGGTAGAGCCAAACCTAAATAAAATGCTCCTTTTATTCCTTTCCTATTGTCAATGACTTTCGCAGCGTACGCGATATAAGGCTATTTTCAGGTACTTTTTACGCACGTTGGGTTACATTATCGAAGTTTTTAAACGGAACCCTAACTTTTTGAAAATACACTATAGCCTATATTAATCAGTGATAATGTAGCATTCAAATGGTAAAAGAAGTTTTAAAATCGGTCTAGTACTTTTTGAACCAATTCGTTACAAACATACTTAAATACAAACCTTTCCTAGAAGTATAGATACGAGTATCATCACGCCATAGTCTGCTGGGTGGCAAGATTTGACAGCATAGAATTATCTTATTCAATAAAGTTTATTGTTCTTAACGAGATATTGATCAGTTTTATTGATCATGGCCATATAAAAATATAACGGCAAATCAACGCGTCGATTATCATGTATGCGCAAAAATAGCGTTTTAATTATCTACGTACTTACCTATGATTAAGTAAACAATGATAACGAAAAATTACCCTCCAATTATCTTTAACATCTACGCTAGTGTGATTCAAAGATTAAAATGTGTGAACTTAAGTACCAAGATAAAAAAAAATAGGACAGACAATAAAAAATAGGTAACTATGACTTGTGTATTATATTTGTTCCCTAGTGTTCCGTACATTGATTAAATGATTAAAGTGCGGTTTCAGTAGACAGCTTTGGTATCGGAAACCAAATAAATCGATTGCAGGTTTCAGAAATAGGAATAACGACTAATTTTTTTTTCTTCGTTTATCAGGTAAATTATCAAAAAGTATTGGACACGTATTTTTTCACATAATATAAAAATTGCAGAGATATATTGATTTGAAAATTGGCATGACGTCACGTTTTACAATTAAACAAGTACAATTTTCACTCAAAAGTGACGTCACGAGCCCCTACTCCCAAACTTAGACGCGGTCACTTTTTGGTTGATTGCCCAAAGAAAAAATACGTGTCCATTATATTTTGATCATCTAACTGACGGACTTAATAGAATTTCGTTTACTGTACCCCGTCATCACCCATATTGTCGTCTAAAACAATCCATTGTTTCTATGTAAGCGAGCGAACATTTTTGTTTTTACTTATGCGATGTATGCGAAGTATTTTCTAATGAAAGGACTTGCTCTCCGTGGCGACGATCGGTTCCATAAAAACTTGCGAGGAATTTAAACAGGACGTTCATATATTCTTTTCTATTTCTTGCGAGTGTTGAAATATGCATCATAAATAGTAGCATATTTTCGACGACCTCCGTGGCCGAGTGGTTTGTACGCCAGGTTTCATGGTCGCCAAATCGAGAGGTCCCGGGTTCGAATCTAGGTGGGGGCAGATGTTAGTGTGATGAATACGAGCATTTGTACTCTAGTCATGGAAGTTTAATATGTATTTGTTTCTTAGGTTTTCACGCACATCACTCATTAAATAAAACTAGTTTTAACGGGTTAATGCACGAAACTTTATTTATTTATTTTCTGACGTTTCGCAGCCTTTTCAGGTCTTCATCGTCAGAATACTGATTTTTTTTTGAAAAAACTTCTTTTAAACTAGTTTTATTGTTTAATATGTATTTCTATACGTATAAATAACTTATATATGCACAGTATATGTATTCTATCCGTTACCCTAGTATCCCATAACACAAGCCTTACAGTGCTTACTTTGGGGCTAGGCTAATTGGTTTGAGTGTTGGAAATATTTATTTATTTATTTTGATTGCGTTAACACAGAAGATTTTTTTTCAGTTCAAAGGAATCGCAGACACATTAAAGTATCAAGATTAAATTTTAATCTTAAAAAAATCATCTCTAGGCATGGGTTGTGTTGGATAGATAGATTAAATATTTATTTTAAAGAAATATTACTAGAAAAATATCCACCTAGATCGAGTGGATTTTTATAGTAATAAATTTCTTTAGATTTAAACATCTAGCAGCATTAAATGCTTAAAAAAATCTTATCAAGGTTTTTTTCTTTTGAGGAACCCTAAAAGGAAATAATTTCAAATACAATTTAATTTTACGATAATAGCATCTAGCACTGTTAAATTTTTATTATTCTGATCTGGCTCTTGGGAAGACTTAAAGCCAGATTTACATTGATACAGTAGCTGGCGCCAGTACCGCTGGATTCATGTAAACATTTTTTGGCGCCAGTCCCGCGCTGGTGCCAGCGCTGGCATGGAGTAGAACGAAGGTCTACTTTTCATGCCAGTGCCCACACCCCGCATCCCCCGCGCCCCTTGCCAGCGTCACTGGATCTTTTTAAACACGTTCACGCCAGTCGCTGGCGCCGCCGCTTAATGTCACCACGTGTTATCGATTTGCTGAAACTATCGACAAGAAAATGTCTCGAAAGTGGGGTGATGATAACACATTACAATTTAGACATTTATATAGAAACTAGCTGACCCAGCGAACTTCGTACCGCCCTAAAAAATAGGGGTTGTCCAGCGGACAAAATTGTGAATCTAAACCATTCTCAGATCCCCTTGAACACACACAAAATATTTCATCAAAATCCGTCCAGTCGTTTAAGAGAAGTTCAGTGACATACATACTCACAGAAGAATTATATATATAAAGATGAGGAGTGTTTATGGGACATTCGTTCGCATAATTATAGAAATAAATAGATGCGAATAACCGCCCTGCAAAATATTTATTGAAGAAATGAAAGCGAAAATAAAATCAGTGTTCATTTTTTCCCAAACGTGTAGTCACCACTAAACCTCAAATGCAACTGCTGGCAAAAATGTAAATGATACAATCCAGTCCAGTTATTGGCACCGTTTTTAGGCGCCTAAAACTGGCGCCAGCTACTGTATCAATGTAAATCTGCCTTAAGCCCGAGCATTATTGGCTGATGATGATGTATGTATTCCAGGGACACAATATCGTTGGACGAGACGGTGACACTGCTGCCGGGTGAGGCGCTTGTGATACGAGCCCCTCCTACGTGAAAACAACGAACGATCGTGTCTAAGAAAATATTACGAAACTTTAATTTTTATTTTTTTAAGTATGTAACTGCTCGATGTTTTAATCTAAAGAAAGAATTACTAGATAAAATTCCACCTGGACTAGGCAGCAGACGGGACTCGAACCATTCATATGTCATTTGACATTGTAGGTTACCTGCAGTGCGAAGAAAGAATTCGACATGGCCATCAGGGCCGCGGTAGCATAAGTCAGTGCATTCACCCGGATAGCGAAAGGTGCGGGTTCGAGGCCCGTCTGCTGCCTGGTCCGCGTGGAATTTTTTCTAGTCATATTTTCTTTAGATTACGAAACTAATTAATATACGAGTATTATTGTTATTAAAAATTTATTAAAAAATGTTAGTAACAACAGAAGCCCTAGCACGAATTTTGAACTGAAATTTGAACGAACGGAGGAATCTTCTAAGATTTTCGGTCACCCATCCAATGACCGACCATTGCGAAAATTGCTTAACTTCAACGATCGCAGCCGAACGCGCCAGCCACCTGCGCCATCGAGCTCCTCAAATTTAAAAGTCCGACGACCCCCGCGGCCGAGTGGTTTGTACGCCGGGTTTCATGACCGTCGCCGACTCGAGAGGTCCCGGGTTCGAATCCCGGTGGGGGCTGATGTTTGTGTGATGAACACGAGCATTTGTACTCCAGTCATGGATGTTTAATATGCATTTCTAAATAAATATACTTATATAAGTACAGTATATGTATTCTATCCGTTACCCTAGTATCCCATAACACAAGCCTTACAGTGCTTACTTTGGGGCTAGGCTAATTGGTGTGAGTGTTGGAAATATTATTATAATTAAAGTCAAATGCTTAGCTACCAAAGGGTGTATATGTAGGTACCTACCACTTTCTGTACCAACGGCTATCCTAACCTAGCCTCCCCTTTGAAACATAAATCAGGTAAAAGGCATTTCCAATTTGTTCAATTTAGCTTTTCCATAACTATCAAAATGAATAAATAACTACTCCAACAAAAAAACATCTAATCGACTGGCACTACGGAAGTTATCGCCCTAAAAGCTTTCGATAAATACTTTATTCATGAATGTCACATCTATTCAATCCATCACAGTGAAGACATTTGAAGTAAACACTAGGCTTGTTAAAAATATATCGATATATCGATATTTTTTGCCGATATATTTTGATTCGATATATCGATACATCGATACAAAATAACCAATATCGAAATTCGTATCAAAAACGATATTTTTTTAATTATTAGCGGCATATCACGATCTAACTAAATTCGCATCTGGAAAAATCGTAACTGGATCTCAGATTAATGATATTCAACATATCTATGATCTGTGCTGTATTTAGTATTGTCTATTATTTGTAAATCTGTTTCGCTGGTGAATTAGTTGTGCTGTTTTCCATTATATTCTGTGAAGTGTGTGACTGTCTAGTCTTGTTAACGAAAGAGACCCTGCAATCATTTTCATCATTCGAAAATAGGGTCTATTTTTAGGGAGATAATTTTCGTCCCATTATTATTCCGCGTGTCATATTTCGTGAGCTACTGTACGATATTTTTGGGAAAATTGGTCCGATATATCGATGTTTTTTTCGCGATATATCGAAGCCGATATTGATATGTATTAAAAGATCGATGTATCGATATATCGATATTTTTTCCAACTTTCGACATCCCTAGTAAACACAATTTGATTATACTATCATAATAGGCGCTGCGTCTCGTTCTAGCGCGCCGCGCAGTCTGAAATTACCAGGCAAGCATAATGCTTATATATAATACAGTATATATGTGTGACGGTAGCGCGACATTCGTGATGGATTACATACACATTCTGTGCGGTCGTGACTCCCTGGTACTTTTGGAGGAGTTTCGTTAAAAAAAAACAGACATCAACTCGACTTTTTTAAGTGACCAGTCATTTTAAATAACGTGCTTCCCTATTAATTCTTAAATAGAAAGATAGATACATAAAACTTTATTCGCACCAACATGCACACATACAAAATTGAAGGCAAGTTTTACAATTATAATAAATCCTTTCAAATTATATTTATGCAACTATACTATGATATTTTCGTGTGCAGCAGCGATGCGAATAGGAGAAAACTCAGCGTAACATTTACTCAGAGAGTGAATAGCTGATTTTCAGTTCTGACCCATAAAGATGAGGTCACGAAATTAAATGTCTGATTAAAATTCACAATACAATAAACGAAATAAATGAATAGATAAATTAATTCAGTCTTTTTATTACAGAAAAAAGAGTAGGAGAAAATATTAAGAGTATAGATGTGCTAATGTTACCTTCCCTAATTATTTTTACAAATATTATGTTTGAACGAAAAAATCAACATCACTTTACAAAAAACGTGTCAAGTTTATATAACTTGAATACTAGGAATAACAAAAAAAAATATCGGTCCCCAAAGGAGATTGCTCAAGTTGGCCCAAATGTACAAAAAAATATTGGCATATACAGTAATTCTTGGCGTAATTTATACTTAATTTACAGTCAATACATTTTAACGGACACCATTGTATAATATATTCATTTTAAAAGGGACTTTTAATTGTACCGGTTTGGAAAACATACAAATCATTTTTAATGGCTATGGGTGTAGTAACATTCAGCCAAAAACTGATGAAAGTTGTTTATATAAACATCAAAACAAATATATTTTGTAAAGATCGATATATTTTTTTTTTATTACACTGTGGTATTTATATCCACAACTATATTATCATTTACACTACATGCAAATGTGCTAAGACAATTATTATAGATGGTAGGCGACATTATAAAGTCTATTGCCATACAATTTTTTACCTCCATAAACACATTATATGGTGTGATGTGATACGCTAAAAATCTAAAATATAGTTATAATTTATAAATATAAGAAAAATAATGAAGCTACTGAAGATATGGCTGTTTAACCTAAATCTCTTAGCTTTCTTTGGTTAACTCAATAATTTATTTGTTTTTTATTATTTTAATACCTATGTGCCTATTTGCAAACATAACCTCAAAATCAATATGGTTTATAGAAGTTCTCAGGGGTGTCCGTCAATAATATTCATTTCTACAGTAATTTATATATAATTTCGAATATAGAAAACAATTTTTCATGATTTTTGGTCTTTAGGCCAAACATGTATGGAAGCTGAGCAATCTCCTTTGGGCTCAGTAAAAGCAGCAATTCTTTTCTAGGCCGTAATGTCACCTTTTATAACAAAATACCTGACGATGTCGGTGCCCTGACAAACACTTTAAAAAGTACTAATTAGTAAGGCCTATTACAAAGTTGAAGATTATATAATAGACAAATGTACATGGAATTATATTACGAGTAACTCTGCACTAGAAATGCACTGGTTGTTATACCCATGAAGGGTATCTGCTCATATACATTGTCTAATATTATAATTTTGTTTGTAAAGATTACTTTAATAAGTGCCTGTAAAGGCTTATGTTTAATAAATAATTTCTGATTGCATGATTTAACATACGAAGGAAATAGAAAGCCCTCTCATGAGTTTGTTTCGCTAGTTCTTCTCTGAGAGGTCTCCCAATTTTGGAACTGTGGGAGTTTCCGGTAGTTAGGATCAAATAAATGAACTCCAAAATAATTAAAAATAATTAAATAAAGTACTTAACTAATAAAATTAGCTAATAAATTCATACATCTTTATATATATAATTCTTCTGTGAGTGTGTATGTCACTGAACTTCTCTTAAACGACTGGACCGATTTTGATGAATTTTTTTGTGTGTGTTCAAGGGGATCTGAGAATGGTTTAGATTCACAATTTTGTCCGCTGGACAACCCCTATTTTTTTAGGGCGGTACGAAGTTCGCTGGGTCAGCTAGTAGACAATAAAGTTTTAATAATCTTCCAATTAAATATCCGAACGCTCAATAAAAGTCTTTCGAAGGTAACTCTTAATTACTAAGGAAACTTCATAACTAAATAAATCAGTGCATGTTTACCATTTGAAACTTGTTTTATTAAATGAGTAGTGCACGTGAAAACCTAAGAAACAAATAAATAATTTCTGTTATAATTTTTATTATTTTTAAAGCATGTAACTGCTTGATGTTTAAATGTAAAGAAAATATAACTAGAAAAAATTGTGGGTTTACCTATAATGCGAAGAGATGGCGCTGCCTTGCAGCTTAAGAATAGCTAGAAAGAATTTCGACGCGGTCCGTGAGGGCCGCGGTAGCATAATTGGTCAGTGCATTCGCCCGGATTGCGAAGGGTGCGGGTTCGAGTCCCGTCTGCTGCCTGGTCCGCGTGGAATTTTTTCTAGTTATATTTTCTTTAGATTTAAATAATTTCTGATTCTATTGCCTTTGAAGGCAGACCAACATACGGCCACCTGATGTCAAGGGCTCACCTTAGGTCGCCCAAGAATGGACGGCAGCAGAGCCACTGTCTTTCGTGGAACCAAGGGCGGATCCAGGGGGGGTCATGGGGGTCATGACCCCCCCCCCCCTGGGCTGGGTACTGATGGACCAAACCCAGGGTGATTTTATTTAAGTAATTTCAATATTTAATATACCACGACTATATGACCCCCTCCTGGCGCCAAAGCTGGCTATATGACCCCCCCTGGCGCCAAAGCTGGCTATATTACCCCCCCTGACGCAAAAGCTGGCTATATGACCCCCTCCCTGGCGCCAAAGCTGGATCCGCCTTTGCGTGGAACACTCTTTTTAAACCTCTGTTGAAGAAACCTATGCCATAGCACTGAGGGAACAGCGTGGAAGTCAGCTCATTCTATACAACTTAAGTATCCATGGAAGAAAGCTCTCTCATAACAATACAAATGAAATGGGATTTGATTTATCAATATATTCCTGGTCCCGGAGCAATTTCAAAATGATTTTTTTAATCGAGAAATTATCCATTACGTAGGTATACCTTACAGCGAGCCGACGGAAAATTGTAATTTAATAAATATCTCTACCATCCCGAAAGATGATATAATTCCTACTTAACATGACGCCATATATACATATTACCTACATGTATGTATCTTGTACCCTTAGTACGAGTTTTACAATTACGAAAACTATGATAGTTTTCGTGAGCTCGCACTCGTACTAAGGGTACTGATTTTATTGTTTTCGTTTCAATACAAATAAACAGTGTGTGGCGACGACATCTATATGCTCCACAGATATACAACGGATGGAGGTAATCATTACTCACCATCCTCAAGAGATGGCGTTACCTGCACTGCGATCAATAATAGTATGGAAGCCTACATCGCGCAAATGAAATTCGGAAGCTAACTCTTAATATATACGATGCCCGACCAACATCAGTCGGGCCGCGGCCCCCGAGCTAACATCACCCAGCTCGGAGGAAGATCTTCCCCTTTGGCCTTCCTACAAGTGTTTAAATTCTATCATTAAATCATTTGCGTCTTCATAAATTTTAAGAATATTTCGTTACTTTTCACCAAAATGGACATAGAAGCATAATTTACAATTACGAAAACTATGATAGTTTTCGTGAGCTCAAACTCGTGCTTGTACTGTACGCGCTATCCGTAAGCGGCTTAACGAGTAAAGATTTTTGTATTTATAATTCATTCATGAATAAATATGTTATTAATAAACCTGCAATTGAACCTATAAATTAGCGCTGACAGATTTCAATGGCAGATCATCAGATCATTACACAGGGCGGCCACAATGGCCGGTTATTACGGGGCTTACTCCATAATTTGTCAGCAAACGGACGGCCCCGGCAGGATCGCGTCACTTCCGCTTAGCTAGTGATGGATTGATCACACATTTACTCTGCCAAGTAGACACAATAATCTAGATAATCTAGGACCAACTTTCGATAGGCTCTACATAAAAAGTACCAAATCCTTTTGATGATGAAAATACTGCTTAAAATGTCTTTAGTTTACTCGAAATGGATTTTCTGCGTAATCACTGTTAATATTTAATAGGCGCTCTTAACAATATACCAAACGTCCTATTAATAAACGAAGGCTAACTTGCTCGATATGATAACGCAGACGCTGTGAATGATGCAAAATATATGAACGTGGCCACAATCTTCTTAGAACGAGATGAGGACTTTAAGCAGGGTTATAAAACGAAAGGAGAACCCTTATTGGTCCCAGGCGACCCGAACACACGAAGGTGTGAGCATTCAATCAAGGGACGGAGTAAGTAAGATACAGACCCGGCCCACGATACATGTTTGTATCGAGAAACAAAGACCTCGTAAGCCGGGCAACATTTTCAACATAGCAATATCAATTTATGGTATCGAGGATCCAATGTTAAGAGGATTCATTAAATTTACAATGCGGCTTAGGAGCTGATGAACACGCTCTTCATTAGTTCTTTTCTAACCAAATTTAATTATATAATATTTCACAAAGTACGGTAACAAAAAAGATCCTCTTTCATAATAATGTAATTGCTCACATCAAAAATTATTTTGTCGGTAGTTTGAAATGGTTAATGACTTTCCATATACTAAATAAAACATTCACTACATATTATTAAGTTAACCTAACTCTAACTTTGACTATTATGGCATTAATGACAGTCTAATACATTTAATTCGCTGCAATAAATTTTAGTCAATTAAGTTTCAACGGTAAGATGAAAATCTGGTATCAAAACATTACCATCACTATAACCTCGTAGTTTGCAACTACTGCGTACTGTTTATGATTAGCAGCTAGTTAATCTTCAGAATCATGTGGACTGTGTTGTTAGTAATTGCGTTTACTAAAAGCGCCGTGGGAGATGCGCCGTGGTGGAACACCGCAGTCTACTACAGGTTATTTGTAGACTCCTTTAAAGATGGAGATGGTGACGGATTAGGAGATCTAAATGGTGAGATTATTATACCTGAAGTAGATAATTTTATAATTCATAAAGGTTCATATGGGATCTAATTATGGCATGATGCTGGACTGCTGTGAAATTAAGGTTTAACAATTGATCAACGAATCCAATTGAAATAAGTTACCTAAAGTTTATTTTACCGAATCATCTTAGAAAATAAGAAAAAAATATTGTCGAATTCTGTATAAATTTAGATAAGCGTATATGCAAATTATAGACACAATATTTATTACTTCAATCTTTCCTTCAATACTTTGTTTTACATCAGATAACTTATAGCAATTACTTTCAGTGACGAAAAAGCTTTCAGAAGCCATTAAAAGTTTCTACGCCGTAATTTTGTTATTGATTTTACAGGAGCCACAAAACAGATAAGTTATGTTCGAGCTTTGGGAGCGGATGCTGTAATAATGTCTCCTTTATCAGCTAAAAGCACTGACTGTAGCAAGCCCGGAGTGGTAGATTTCACTGAACTCGATAAAAGGTACGGCAATCTAAATACCCTTGAAAACTTTCTGGAGAAAGCTAAGAAATTAGGTAAGAATAATGTTAAATATTTATTATAAGTTAGTATAACATCATCAGAATCTAAGCTCAAATCTATTTCAGAACTTAAAGTAGTGCTCTCCTTGCCTATTCAAACAATTAGCACCGCTTCTGAGTGGTTTACTTCCAGTGCTGATAAAGTCGTAGGTTTTGAAGACAGAATGGTTTGGAAAGATGGAACTGTTGATAATAAACCACCTGTAAGTATTATAGTTTAAAATATTTGAACGGATGTTTTTTTAGATATTAATAAGAATATAGTACTTGAATAATATGTTCTATATATAGAGGTATTAATTCAAATGATAATGATAACGTTTTAACAAAATATATTATGGATAATTTATATCGTGTGTATCTCTGTGCAACGACATCACATAACAGCAAACTGATTGTTCATATGACGCTCCAACCATATGTTAGAAAAAGCTTCTCATCTGCGTTTGTAATGCTAATGTGCGCTCGTATGTTATCCAATGTATTAATTCTGCATTTGAATTTTCAGCTCCAGAATGGTGTCGACGATTGGATTTGGCATGAAAATAGATCTGCATATTTCGGAATGCGTGGTAGTGAAGCAATTCTTAATTTCTGTTCCGAGGCGTTGGTAGCTGCCTTGTCATCAACTCAATGTGCTTGGTTAAGAAGAGGTGTTTCAGGTGTGATTCTAAAACCAGATTATGTTCTTGACCAAACTTGCGCAGAAAAATTGTTGCAGAAAATGGTAGCTGAAACTACTATCTGTGCTAGGTCTTCTAACTTGGAGAGTCCGTGAGTAAATTCATTAAAATGTTGGTGGGAATTGTTTGTGGGAAATGTTCATAATAGCTAGACTAATTGAAGTTATTCAAATTATCAAAATAAGGTGTCAAGTATAAACTATATGCATTTCAGAGTTATTCTAGTGGAATCATCACTTGATGTAGAAGCAGCAGCTAAATATTATGCCAACGGTAGAATAGGGGCCAATAGTGTTCTCAGTACGGCTCTAACAAGTCCATCGAAGCAAACATCACCACAATTAGCTCTTTCCATACTTGCTAGTCTCTTATATGCGCCTCAAGACTTGCTTCCCTCGTGGACTGTGAGTTGCATGTAATTAATAAGGTTTACGGACGCTGTACAGATGATGCTATATATGACGCTGTATATTAATCTTATTTTTTCACCAGACGAGCGAGCTTTTTCAAAGTCGGATAACAACTCGATACGGCAGTGACACAGTTGATGCTATCAACTTGCTTGCGTTGGTATTACCAGGAGCAGCAGTAATACAACAAGGAGACGAATTAGGTGTAGCGGATACTATCCTAGAATGGGCATCCTCTAATGGGACATGTTGGCCTAATCCGATCTTACCATCCTCAGCACCATTTCCTTGGAGTGACTCCAGTAATGGTGGTTTCAGTGACGGAGAACCGTGGCTCCCCTTAGCTCCCAACTATAGATATGCAAATGCTAAATCCGAATTCGCAAACGAAAATAGTCATGTAGGAGTATTGAAAGTGGCCGCTGCAATGAGAAAATCCCCAGCGATGGGGCCTCATGTAGAAGTAAGTGAAGTTGTTAATATGCCCTTGTTTTTTAAAAACATTTATCTGAGTGGGTTGTTTATAGTTCTTCCAATAATCTCGGTGTTCAAGATAACCTTTAAACTCATTTTTAAACACGTACAAGAATGCAATTATTTACATCTTTTACGTAATTATGTTCATTTACAAAATCTTTAATTTTATTCTTTCTAGATCAAGCGCTTAGGAAGCGCAATAGCTGTACTAAGATGGGGTGGCCATGGATCCCTTTTGCTGGTGTCCAATTTGGGCAAGGAGCAAATGGAAGTGAAGCTCTCAACTATTTATGGTATTCCAAATGAGATGTCTGTGGCGGCCAGTTCCGCGGGCTCGAGTCTCTCCGTTCGATCGCAGGTGGCTGTTGACAAATCGCTTAAATTGACCCCTGGGGAGACACTGCTATTGGCTGGAGGGCCGAGACACTGCGGGGGACCGGGGCCCGTAGACAAAATTGCCAACAAATTGTCCGAGGGTTGGCAAAAGATAAATAAGTACTTCAGTAATTAGACTTGTGTCACAAACTTTTTAAAATAATAAAACTATCGATCCAATCGCTAAGTCTTTGGATTGGCTTACTCCGCGTTTGCATTTAGATGTCACTAACAATAAATTACATTTTCAATTAGATTATACCTATTCTTAACAGTTATTTGTATAGCAATACGTTGAACGAAAGTGGCGGCAATATCGCTCAGAGGAGCGTGACACAAATGTGAGGAACACTTAAACCCTAACTAGGACGTAATGAATTGAATATCTAATTTCACCCACACATAGACTGCCTTAGTACAAGGCTGCTTACTCCATTTACTACTATTGTCTTCGTGACCTATTTCCGATGCTGTGTAATAGAAAATATAAACGTGTATAACGAGCTCGGCTTCGAGTAACCTAGTTAAGCCACCACGTTCAATAAACTGCAACTTCATGAATGAAAAACTGCTGCAAACGATGTAATCACCCCTTCGAACACGTCGTAAGTCGTAGGCACACGGTTTGAAAATCGATTTTTATTTGGTAAGTACGGAAAATTGGGGGTCGTGTGCTACGATTGATATAAGGCGGGCATCTCCAGTCGTCGGGCTTCGGCGTGTTTGCGATGACGACGTTGCGGGTTTGATAGTGTTTAGTTTAGATTAGTATCGGGATGGGGTTTGAAAGTACTTACAAAACTTGCTCTTCTCGGCATGGCTGAGCGTCGCGGCTAGCAACGCTGTGAGCAGAGCGGGCAGCGCGCTCGCCCTCATGACGGGCGGCGCGGGCGTACGGGGCCCGGCGCGGCGCGGACTGACGGCTCGGCCGCGCGCGGGTATCGACCGCACGTGTATCGCGCATGCGCCGCGTCCCCTACGCCGCAAGAGGGTTGCCGCTCTACAATAAAGAACCTCCTTTTCAAAAGTTCCATCTTAAAATATCCATTATCTAATTCCTATTTTTCTTCGTGGAAATAGGTTGATAGACTGACTCCCTATAAAAGAAAACCAATGATTCCCCAAATTTTGTAATCAATAGCATTAAATAACTGAACACGAATTTTACTTGCGTGCATGATTAGTGTATGAGATCGGACTATTACTTTTTCGTGGATAAAACTATCAGGAATCGGTAACCTCTTTTGAGGCTGGCAACCTTTTCGGTATCGCGATCGTGTCCCAATAACGCTCACAAAGTTTTCTGTCCCACAGCAAAAAGTAGAAACGGCGCTAGTAAAAGAGGTTTGCACGAAAATGAGCCCAACGTCTGAAGGGAAGGCGACAGTGGCTCCCTCGTCAGTCGGCAAAGTTAAGTTTGTCAGTTTGAGCGCGTACGTACTACGATGTAGCCGGGACGCAGGCTCCGCCGGCCGAGCCAGACTCGACGGGGTGTGTTCGGCCTGCATCAACAGAATGACCACTGTTCTCTACTGCATTGGAATAAGGCTCAGATTTCCGGAACAAGTTTATCACACCCAAACATTCATAATAGGAGTGTCGGAGACACATCTTTCGTATTTTCACAGGAGCGCCGACCGCCGCGGCGTCGCTTCAGTTGCCGGTGCCGTCTGTGTGAGTAAGACAGCTTTCGTATTTCATTGTTGTGCCATTCGGGCTCCAATCTGCCCGTGACGACTCATTCGCTCAGTTACATACTGAGTTGAGTGAATGAACATACACGAAAGCACTTAAACAAATATACATTCCAGAGAATTTAGCGAGGGTTTTGTATCATTAACTATGATTGGGATAGATTAAATCAAACATCTACCGATGTTGGAATTTGCACACATGAAAAAAAATAGAAAACTCTTGTTTCTATGAAATAGCAGATGATTATCAACAGGGATGATAGGTTTAAGAACTAATCTATGCTAAAGGAGATTACTCAGCTTCCATACATGTTTGGTCTAAAGACCAATAATCATGAAAAATTGTTTCGTAGATTCGAAATTATATATAAATTACTGTAGAAACGAATATTATTGACGGACACCCCTGAGAACTTCCATAAACAATATACATTGAATGATTTTGAGGTTATGTTTGCAAATAGGTACATTGGTATTAAAATAATAAAAAACAAATAAGTTATATAGTAAACTAGGGAAATCAAGCCAAGTACCGAAATACGTATTTGATTCAGGTATATAGCGCAAGTAAATTTACATATAGTTGCCTGTTTATAAAGTTCATGCACAAGAGTAACTTTTAAAATCAAGTATCATCTATGCATTTCCGGTTATAATAAGGTACTCTGTGACAGAAACTGTGTGATGATTGTGAATGAGCCACAGATTAGACAGAATTTTTAAACTCTCTCTTGTAGTGAAAATGATAATATAGTTGTGGATATTAATACCACAGTGTAATAAAAAAAAAGTTTTATATTATCGATCTTTACAAAATAGATTTTTTTTGTTGTTATATAAACAACTTCGATCAGCCTTTGGCTGAATGTTACTACTCCAATGGCCATTAAAAATGATGATTTCCAAACCGGTAAAATTAAAAGTCCTTTTTAAAATGAATATATTTTACAAAGGTTTCCGTTAAAATCTAATGACTGTAAAATGAAGTATAAATTACGCCAAGAATTACCGTATATGTAAATTTTTTGTACATTTGGGCCAATTTGAGCAATCTCCTTTGGTATCGTCAAAGTGAAATCATGTAATATCCAAAATATAGATATATAATTTAACCCTACAAGGCATGAAGTTCTTAGAGCACTACGCTTTTACTTTCTTGGTGTTCAAAAGCCAAAAACTGATAAAAAAAATCATCAAAATCGGTCCGCGCATCTCGGTGATAGACACAATAGAAAAACCTCCTTTTTTCAAGTCGGTTAAAAACTAACTCATGTTTACAGTTTTTGAAATGTCGATTTTCCTGTGCAAAGATTCGTCACCATTTTGAGCCCCCGAGGGTTATAATTACAGAAAATGTTGGATGGATGAATAAAAAAGTTGTGAAAATCTATTGTTTTATTGTATACTAGCGGCCCGCCCTCGCTTCGCTTCGGTGTAGAGCTGAAGTGTAGACTACAGTTTTTGTTCTCAGGCTTGTATTATACACAATGACATTCATCTATGATTCTTCTTATACCTGCATGCAAAGTCTCAGCCCGATCGGTTTAAAATTGATAAAGTTTCATACAAACTTTCATTCCTTATTTTATCCCCTTGGGATTTTCTTTATATTTTTTTCCGTAAGAACCTTGTACAGAGTATTAGAAAACTACAAAAAAAAACAGCCAAATCGGTCAAGCCGTTTTCATGTTATGTCGTGACAACGGAAAACGGGTTTCATTTTTATATATATAGATAAAATATAGTAAAAATCCTGGAATTTTTTGGGGGAATGAAAAAATTTAAAAACAAATATAAAGATGTTCGAAGTCATGAAGCGTTTATTCATACCCCTCCTGTGTATAAAGCTCAAAATTACAAGGTAACATCCATTGTTCGCCTGTTACAATAATGTCAATTTCAGTGTCTGCCAAAAATACAATTAAGATCTTCGATTTTATTTGTTAAACATTGCATGTTTAGACACATTATCCTAAAATTTTTAGACTCGAAAAGAAGACTTTTCTAAATCACTTTTTCTCAGACACGTATCTGATGTAGAATAAAGAAATGTAGTTATCATTAATTTATTCTACGTCACATAAACAGTTTTATATGAAAAAGAAAATCTTAAAGCTTATACCAAATGATATAATAGAATCTTAAAGGAAATAGTTGCGAATGAGAAAAGAAAAGCTAGAAATAGATTAAAAACCTCCAGTAATATACTTAAAGCAATGTGGTCCATGATTAATGAAAATATGAAACCAGCTGATAAACTGAGACATAAAAATATAAATTAAGAAGTGCTTTCTCCGACAAAAGTTGCAAATTCATTGTAAAATTATTATATAGGCGTTAATTGAAAAAATCAAACTAGCTATAATCACTGTCCAAAGAATTCACTTAAAAATTCTGTGATTTTGAGTCTGGTGTGAAAAAAATCATATTATCCCTAAAACGCAACAGCTCTTGTGGCCATGATATAATTCCAGCTAAACTTCTAACACACTGCGTTGACGAGTTCAAGAATCCAATAACATTCTTCTGAAACCAAATCTAATAATAGAGGAATTTCTCCAGATAGTTTAAAATTTTCGATTATCAAGCCAATTTTTCTAATGTAGTATCCCTTATTGTCGTCCAATCGCCATACAGTTATTATCTCTTATCTATTAGACAAGTCCGTCCGTCCGTCCGTCCGTCCGTGGTGCTGTTTCAGCGGCCAAACCGTAAGAGATAGATATAGAGAATGTTTAAGTTATAAGTTAAGAATAGTCAGATAAGACTACAAACCGGATGTGAGTAACGTAGCACTTCCGGTTTTCGAGAAATCACGTGATTTCTATTTCAAACGAAACCACACAAAATCTCCGAACTTCTCAATTAATTAAATCCTTTTTTTTTTTTTGTGAACATTTGGTTCACAGGTTTGCTAGTATTATAAATTAATACAGACTTTGAAAGTAGCCGGACAATCAATATTCGATTTTCAAAAATTTCAAATACTGCGTCACGTCAGGGCGCTTGTTCTTTTTTTAAAATTATTGTATTGGTTCTGAAATGAGAAGGTCTAGAAACCACTTCATTTTTATTATTGTTATAGGTATCGAGCTCTACAATGTCTCCACCCGTGTTTCTAAATATGAAGAAATATTTGAGAAACTATAATTATTATATACAGAAAGTCTCATTCCTGTGGTTTTATTATAAATCCTTTACACAAAAACTTTCTAATAGTGAATGATTTTTTAAAATGGGTCAAGATGATTCAGTCAGTGTATCCTTTTCTCTCTTTTTATACTCGTAATAGTATAGTTACTATGCAACAAGTACAAGCGAGTAACTTGTACAAGTAGCTGGAGCACACAACTGACACTATTCACGCGAGTTACCCGCATCTTTACTGATTCCAGCTACTAGCACCATGTAGAAGCACCCTCAGGCCCTTTTCACATGCACA